GACCACGTGTGTGGGAAGAGATGAAAAAGAAACTCGGTATCGTCAGCTGAAACAAGACCAGAGACTGATTTGGAGCATGTGCAAGTTTAAGTTGAAGCTGAAGAAAATTAGAACCAGCAATGAGAGCCAAAATACAACCCCACCTGAATTTAGAGGTCATTTCAAGAACAGACTTGACCCAAAGAACACTAACCACCATAGATCAGAAGCGCTGTGGGATGACATCAAGTATCACGCCTGAAGAAATCAAAAGGTCATGAAAGAGATGGGGAAGAAAGAAAAGTTCAAAGAGACTCTGAAAGTTCCTTTTGGTTGTAGAGCAGCTAAATTCACTGGAAGGAGTGATCCTGTATAAGAGCTGAAGGGAACTTTTCAAAGCGCAGCTCAAGAAGACATAGTGAATCGTGATAATGAGATGTGCAAAGGCCTGGAGTTAGCCAAAAAGGAAGGGCATGCTCAGCTCGTCGCAAGCTGAAAGAAGCAGAGGAAAAATGCATACTTCCAGTCGTACTACCGAATGACGCAGGAAGCGTCCAAAGAAGATGAAAGAAATATATAGTCAGTATCGAAAAGAAGTAGGTGGCATTCAATCATTTTCAAGAGGTAGTACATAATCAAGAACTAATGGGCCTGAAAGTAGTTCAAGCTTCCTGAAGGCCTTAGAGAAAAACAGGGCTCCAGGAATTGGTGTAATACCAATGTAAATGCTTCAACTCACTGAAACAGCACTGGAAGTACTCATCTATGCAAAAAATTATTGGGAGACAGCTACCTAGCCAACTGACTAGAAGAAGTACATATTTGTGCCCATTCTGAAGAAAGGTGAGTCAGCAGAATGCAGAAACTCTCAACAATATTATTCGTATCACATGCAAGTAAAATTTTACTGAAGATCATTTTAAAGTGACTGCAGCATGAGGTATATCATGCTGACATCAGATAGATCTTGAGTGGAAGCAGAGAACACCAGAAAGATGTGTTTTATTGACTATTTAAAAGCAGTATACCGTGTGGATCATAGCAAATGAAGGAAAACATTGCATAGAACGAACATTCCAGAACACTTCATTGCACTTGAATGTGGACCCTGTAATGGACCAAGTTACTAATCATTCAAACAGAGTAAGGGAATTTCACAGGGTATAAAATAAGGAAAAGTGTGCATCAGGGTTTTACCCTTACGTTGTTTTCTTCCATCTGTGTGCTGAGCACAGAATCCGAGAAGCTGGACCGTATGAGGGAGAATGGGGCTTCGGTATTTGTAGAAGAGGCGTTCGCCACTTCCGATATGCGAATGACACAAATGTGCTTCTTGAAAGCGAAGAGAATCTGTAGCACATTTTGATAACGATCAATGACTTCGGCTTTCCACACAGATTACAACTCAATGTAAAGAAAACAAACATCCTTGTACCTGGATCAATCCACAACATCATGATAAACAGCGAAAATTGAAGTTATCAGGGAATTTCATTTGGCTTGGGTTCACCAGCAGTGCTCATGGAAGCAGCAGTCAAGAAATGGAAGGATGACTCCCTGGGTCAGCAGCCCACAGGAGGCCACCCCTGGAGGCGGGCACAGGATCCCAGCGAGCAGAGAGGGTGAAGGAGCAGAGAGGGAAGTTCTGCCTGTCTTATGAAAAGGCCACACACCCCAAGGAGGCATTCTCAGGCTGTGATCTAATTGATATCCACCCCTATACTTTCACACAGGTTCAAGTTGACAGAGAACCCAAGGTGCTTTCTGTCATCTCATATGCGTATGAAATCTGGACAATGAATGAGGAAAACCAGAGACAAATTCGTGTATTTGAGTCATGGTATCGTTGAAGACTATTGAAAGTACTGTGGACTATCAGAGGAACAAACAAATCTGTTTTGGAAGCACCGCCAGAATGTGCCTTAGAAGTGACGATGGCAAGACTCCCCCTCGTACACTTTGGAGAGGAGAGATCTGTCCCTGGAAAAGGACATCATTCTTGGCAAAGCAGAGGCTCAGCACAAAGAGAAGAAGACCTTCAAGGAGATAGACTGACACCGTGGCTGTAACAATGCGCTCAGACCTAACCGCTGTGAGGATGGCGCAGGACCAGGCAGCGTGTCACCCTGTCACTCATACAATTGCTGGGAACACTCTTCATGAAAAAGAAAAGAATAAAAACATAAGCAGGTACGGGCCTTGCACAGGACGTGTGTAAGTGAGTGTACTTCAAGCAACAATTATCTCTGAGCAAAGTGCCAAGGGCAGAGAACATTCTAGAGGAGGAGCACCACATCCTGACTGAATCAGAAAGGTTTCAACACAGAGCGGAAGCTGGGGCTGAGACTCCATGGAGGTGGCATGTTGAGATTGAAATTCTTGGGTCTTCCTCCCAGATCGTGATCCATACATACCCATAAACCCTGCGACATCAGCTACTGTCCTGAGGGCAGAGAGAACGCTGGGGAAGGTGTACACTGTTCCGAAGTTTCAAAGAAATAACCGGAAAGAAAGCAGTGTTGGACTGAGGGGAAAAAATGAGCACAGGATGGAGCCTGACTCCCACGCACTGGTGCTCACACCATAACGTCTCAAATCCCCAGACTTTCCCAAGTCATCAGAAATGGGCTCTGGAGAAAGGTGAACAAGTAAGTAAGGCTTCCTCCTAGCCTGTCATGGTTCACATACGTGTGGTCAGGCCTACAAGTAGGAAGCAAAGTATGAAACACTGAAAGTCTGGCTAGCATACGAGCAGACCATTTTCCCAGCGTGTACGGTATTTTGCCACGGTGCCGGTTGTTACGAAAGCAGACGGAGTTGTCTACAAATTGAAAGAGCATCCCATTTGCTTCAAAAGAAGATGTAGATGGGACAGAGGAGCGGTGGGTGTGGGTAAGGATAAAACCAGATGTGCAGGAGTGAATACTTTGTGCAGCTGAGTGATGGGACATGGGATTCCTTTATACCATTTGTCCTACATGTATACGGAGGGTGAGGTGGGGTGTCATCCAAATGTTTGTTGAAAAATGAGATAAATTTTTTTTTAAATGAGATCAAGAGATCATAGAATTTTTCAATGAGCTTTTTTTGGGGGGAGGGGGGGTCCTTTGGGATATGTTTGAAATTTTCTGTCATGAAAGTATAAGAGCATTCCAGATGATTCTACTTGCCTCCCTCCACCCCCACATCAGGCAATAGTCACTGGTATACCAGACTGTCTAGCTGTTGAGACATCAACCAGATAAAGACTAGATACATCTTTCTCTTCTCATTTGCTCCTTCTTGCTGGCTGGACCACACCTGTGCTTATACACAGCGATGCCCCACACATCTTGGGCAAGCATTGATGTCTTCAAGGTGACGAAGACAGGTTCTCTTCATTTTCCATCAAGGCCATCCTTCGTCCTCCTGCTAGGTCACCGGTGTAGGAGCCAGACAGGAGTCGCCACTGCTGTAGCCTGTGGGGCAAGAAGAGGAAATGCCAAAGGCCATGCCACCTATCTCAAGTCTTGGATGGGTTGCTGACCAGCTCGGGGATTTTACCTAACAAGTACCTAATCTCATGGTGGTGTTGTGAAAAATTAAATTCGGTAACTAGCCCAAAGTCTGGCATTTACCAGCACTCAGTAAGTACAAATTATTTCCTTTCCTGTCAGAACCTGCTAAAATTTTGGCAGCAGCAATAAATAGGAATGGAAGCTGATATGATTATCAGCTATTTATAGCCTCTGTCCTGGCAGCAATGGGAGCCAGGAGAGGGAACACTTCCCTCTTGATATAATCTGGATCTGAGTTGGGAGCTATTTCATAAAATAATAATAATAATAAACATACAAAAAATAACAACAACCCAACTCAGAGCTAGGAAGGTCAGTCTGGCTCATGGTGACCCTATAGGACAGAGTTGAACTGCCCCTGTGGGTTTCTAAGACTGTAACTCTTTACAGGCATAGAAAACCTCATCCTTCTCCTGTGGGCTGGCTGGTGGTTTCAAACTGCTGACCTTGCAGTTTGCAGCCCCAAGTGTAACCCACTGTTTTCTACTTGGAAAAATACTAAAGGATAACTTTATAAATGTATAAAGCATACAGATAAACTCATATAAAGAAATTAAAACTAACCATACTCTTACTAGCAGATAACATGGTGAAATATTGTATGTATGCATAAATATATATATATTCACAAGTGTGTGTGTGTAGTGAGCGAGAGACACACATATCATCTCTGGGTGGAACAAATGGCCAATGTGCAACTGCTGACCCAAAAGCTAGCAGTCTGGAGACTTGAAAGAAAGGCTGCCAATCTACCCTCACCGCACCCCCCAAAACCCCTCCAGTGAGAACACTGTGGCGGAGCGCAGGGCTACGCTCACGCACAGGGAGTCACCCTGAGTTGGAATCAACTGGACAGCAAGTGGTATCTATGGATAGTGTAGACCTACACACTCTTAAAACAAAACTGAAATTGTACTCTGCAGTCTCCGTAGACTCTTCGGCCGCCTGCTTTTCTCCCTTAAGAACATATCAAAACCCTTTCTGCATGCCACTGAAATTTCTCCTACAGCATTGTTCACAAATGTCTGCCTAGAACAAGCCAGAAGTTAACAATTATTACTCTATCGAGAGACCTTCAAAATGCCCCCCTGTTATTTGGCACAGCCCCCGACCTGTGCCAAAGCATGCCTGCATTCCAATGCCCTCCGAGTGCACCGTGCCCACGGGCACTCCCACTAACCTTCTTGTTGGCAGTCTCCGAGCCAGCGAGTGACTTTTTATTCATCAAGCTTATATTGATGGCTTATTGTATGACTGTGGGCCTCTGATGGGACCCTCCCCAAGAATCCACACCCACTTCTGACGTGGGGCACACCCTTTAAGCCCAGACATTGCCAAATCACCAGCACCTGCCTCAGCTGCTGCCTGGGATAACCAAACAGGCGCCCTCTCCCAATGTGAAAGACCTTCTGCTGAAATCTTCCCTAAAGCACTCCCGCCCTCGCCGGTCTGGTGGCATCAGCTATGGCCGGGCGTTTCCACGGGACCGTGCAGCTCGGGGGACTGCTCCTGGCCCTCGTCGGCTGGCTGTGCTCGTGTGTCGCCACAGCCCTGCCACAGTGGAAGACTCAAAACCCGGGACTGATTGAAATGGAGACCCAGCTAATGGGGCTCTGGCAGGTCTGCGTGGATCAGGAGGAGGTTGCCACTGTGTGCCACGCGTTCAAGTCCTTCCTGTCTCTGCCCCAGGAGCTCCAGGTATCCCGGATCCTCATGGTAGCGTCCAACGGGCTGGGGCTCTTGGGCCTTCTACTCTGCGGCTTTGGGTCCGAATGCTGCCGGTTTCACAGGATACCAGGGGTCTTCAAGAGGCGGTTTTGCCTCCTGGGGGGAGCTTTGGAAGCATCTGCTTCAGCCATGACCCTCTTACCAGTCTCCTGGGTGGCCCACGTCACAATTCAAGACTTCCAGGATGACAGCGTCCCTGAGATTGTGCCTCGGTGGGAGTTGGGGACTGCCCTTTACTTGGGCTGGGCTGCAGGGGTTTTCCTGGCCCTTGGCGGCGTCATTCTTATCTTCTCTGCCTGTCTGGGGAAAGAAGCTGTGTCCTCTCTCCACAAGGCTGGTCCCACCGGCTTGCCATGCCTCCATTCAGCATGTGACTCACACGTCTCCCTCCACCGAACACCAGGACGGGGGAGCTTGATGGCCTAAGACGCTGCCAAGGAGCCTGTGGAATAAGGAGTGCCTGCAGAGCCCTCTCTTCTCCTAGGCCTCCATCACCCGGTGCTGCATTGCACTGGGAGCAGGGTGGTGGTTACTCTTCTTCTTGTGAGGATTTCATTCTCTGGAGCGCTGGTGCTGTGGTGAGCCTAAAATCAGAATAAAGACCCAAGGCAGTGCCTAGCAAAGAGGTTCTTTTGTTTTGCCGTTTGAAGCTTTGACTACAAATGCTCTTACATTCTAGCATCGATGGCACACTTGATCCTTGAACTACAAGGGAAATCTTTTACACTCTTGCAGCCGTCAGAGAAAATCGAGTGTGAAGAGTCACTGAATGTGAGGAGGGGGAAGAGGGAGAGGCTAAATATGGTACCTTGGCAAATGAACAGGAACTGTTACTCCTTACTGGAGCTCAGGCTACGGATCCTCCTGTCTGTGTCTGGCTTTAGGCGCACCCTCTGAAAGGGAGCCGAGTCATTGACCTTGGCTGGTTTGCAGGCTGATGGGAGAACTGGTGGTGTAGTGTTGGGCTGTGAACCAAGACGTCAGTCATTTGAAAAGACCAGCAGCTTCGAGGGAGAAAGATGAGTCTTTCCACTCCGTGGTGGTACAGTGGGCTATGCACTGAGCTGCTAACCATAGGGTCAGCAGTTCGAGACCACCACAGGCTCCTTGGGAGACAGATGAGGCTGTCTGCTCCCATAAAGAGTTACAGTCTTGGAAACTCACAGAGGAAGTTCTATTCTGTCCTGTGGGGTCACTGTGAGTTGGAATCAACATGATGGCAGTGAGTTTTGCTTTGTAGATTTTTAATTTCCCCAAGGGGGGGTTGCTTTCTTCTTTTGGCTGTTAGGAGGTTAGGAATGGTCTGCTCTGTCTTCCCAACGCGAGGTCAAAGGAACAGTGAAAGTTAAATGGTAGGGCGACCAAGTTTCACAGTTGTCTCGGATGGAAGGATTCCTTGGCCTCTGAGCTTTTAAGGTTCATAGGAGGAAAGCCCCAGGCAAACTGGAATGAATTGGTCATTCTCAAGGGACTCTCCCCAAGGAGGGCTCTGTGTGAATGGAATATCACCCACTGGAAGAGGAATATCAGTTCCCAGAGAGGTCTTTTATCTTGTACCAAAGTGCACTACAAACCCCTTGTATCTCTACCCAACTGAGTTGACCTGCTGAGGCTCTGCCTATGATAGCATTTCTAATAACAATAACCTAATTTCCTTTCTTGTCTGACCTGCACTGACCAATGCCTGATGACCCCGCCCTGGGTCTTCCTGGGGCATTTCTGCCAGCCCTTAGGTAGGAGCCGCAAGACTGATTGCTCAAAAACCTGTCTGTCAGCTAAACCACCCAGTCCTCACCCGCAGCATCCTCCTCACCACCACCCAGCCCCACGCCCTTCAACAGGCAGTCACCACTGGCTCTGCTGACAATTCCCGGAGGAGAGCAGCTACGGGTGATGGTCCCCAATGGCCCCAAATCGGTCACTTCTCTGGGTTCAGGAAATGCTAGATTCCCTCAGAACTGGGGAGACTCCTCTCTCCCCAAGCAGGTGCTGTGGTTGGCCAGCTAGGCTCTGACTGAGGCTGGTCTGTTGTGTTTAGGATGCCACAGTGCCTCCCACGATTCCACGGAAATGGCTCCAGCATCTTCAGAGAGCCACCGCTCAGACGAGGACACACGTGTCTCCACCAGGGCCACAGCTGAAAGACCTCCTTAGGAAAGAACTGGGGTGTTTGAGGACAGGGTGTCTGCGGAGGAACCACTTTGTCTTCAGCCTCTTTTACCTGCTCAGCCAGAGCGGGTTTCATTCCATTTCCCTGTGCGGACTCCACCCGACATGCACCAATCCAAATGGTCCTTAGGGAAAGGAGGCTCCGAGTACACAGGACAGATGGCACCAATGGGGCATTCTGGTCTTCTCTCTTCAATCCCCAAGCTGCTTCCGGTACCCATTTTTATCCGTTATTCCGGCACAACGTTGAGCCAAATTTGGGTCAAATTTCCAAGGGTTTCCCAGGTCACACAGTATCTGGAAGGAACCAGGTCATCATTTATCCAATCATGTAGTCATTCATTTAGCAATTATCTGAGCACTTAGCATATGCTTACCAACCGTTGTGCTCAGAATCAGGATACAAATAGTAAACCTGACTGAATTTACTCCTAGCCTGTGGGAAACAAAAAAAGTTATTCCCCAGGTTGTCCCCCCATAGTATATGCCAAACCAAAGGTGCTGCTTGCTAACACAAGGTCAATGACTATACACTTGGAGGTCAAGTGCTTAAAGGTTATCTGTCTGAAGGTTATCAGTCATCTAGAGCCATCAGAACCTCTAGTTTCTCCCACTCTAGGTAGAGCCCACTCCCCTCTGATAAGGATAATGGATTGTTCCCCTGAAGGAGAGCCCAAAGACTCCTAAGGTCAAGGTTAGGCCGCCATCTGAACTCTAGAGCCCACCTATCTGTCACATGTATGCCTTTCTGTCACATGTATACCTCTAATGCCTCCCCTTCCTATTGCATGTATGCCCAGCTTATCCCCTTCCTGTCTCGCGCATGCCTACTGTAGAATCCCTTCTTATTATGCATGGGGTTACCTGTAATTAGGGGGGGATGTTTGCCATGGTTGGAAATTTATTCTCTCTGCGAGGACCTGGCTCCTGAAGTCATGATGGTCCTGGAGGTGAGCACTCTCATGCTTTATCTTGTCTGATGTCTCTTTAAATTTACGCCTCAATTACACCACTGCCCCTTGGACCCATTCGATTGTGGGGGCTGGCACCCCACACCAGCCCTCAATCAAGAAGGGGAAATTAATTAAATTAATATGAATTAATTTGTGAAGATCACTCAAACAAATGTAAAATGTAACTATGGGCAAACTTTACAAAAGAAAAGACACTTGGTTCTCTAAAATCATGAAATGGGAGAAATTCCAGAGTGATGATGGTTAATGTTATGCCAATTTGGCTAGGCCATGATTCTCAGTGGTTTGATAGATGTTATGCGATCATCTTCCATTTCTGTGATCTCATGTGAACAAGCAGTTGAAAGGCGTTTTCTTAGGGGTGGTACTTGCATCCAATAAATATAGATGTTCTGAAAAAACTCGCTCACTCTTAAGCCTGCATCTGATTTGTCATTTTCTGACCTCTGGTTCCTGAGATGAGTCAGCAACCTGGCACCTGCCCTGCAGATTGTGGGATTTGCCAGCTCCTGCAATCTCAAGAACCAGCACCCTTCCCCTAACTTGCCACTTTTGGCTTATGCGGCTCTTACATCCCGGCAAGTCAGAAGCCTTCCGGCTGACACGTCACCTCGGATTTGGGACTTGTCAGCCTCAACACCCACTTAAGCCATACCGTGGAAGCAAACCTCTCTATTTCTATATATGCTTCATTGGTCTTCATCCTCTAGTCAGTATTCCACCCAGGTGGACAGATCTCAGGTGAGCTTCTAAATTAAGAACAGACTACAAAGAAGAAGCAAACTGCCCACGTCTTAGAAACTAGTCACTAAAAATCTTGTGACTAGCAGCTGAGCATTGTCAGAGTGCTGTCAGATATAGTGCCAGAAGATGAACCGTCCAGGTTGGGAGGCACTCATAGAAGCACTGAGAAAGAACTAGCTTCTCAAGATAAGATCAACCAAATAATGCTGATGGAGGGCAGCTTCCTGGGCCTTTATTTTCGGAGAGGGCACAACTTTACACGAGAAGAAATAGCTATAAACATCTATTACTAAATCAGCATGTGGAATGCATGAAGTATGCATCTAAGAAAATGGGGAGTCATCAAACATGAAGTGGAACAGAGAGATTAGTGCATGGAAATGAACTGCTGATGGCCACTTTGAATCAGATGCGGAAATGGTTTACTATGCCTGGGATGACAAATTCAAGCAGAAGGGTGTTGAATTCATCATTAAAAAGAGCACTTCAAGAGATATACCGAAGCTCAATGCTGTCTGTGATGGGATAATATCTATCTGAATACAAGGCAGTCAACCCAATATAACTATTATTCAAATTTACCCCAAAGCCACTAAAGCTAGTAATGACAAAATTGAAGAATTCTACCAATTTCTTCAATCTCAAATGGACCAAACAAACATGAAATCAAGATGCAAGGATAATTATTGGTGTTTGGAATGTAAAGGTTGAAACGAAAAGGTAGCGTAGGTAGAAAATGTGTCCTTGGTGATAGAAACGAAGCTGGAGATCACAAGATAGAATCTGGCAGGACCATGACTTCATCGCAAATACCTGTTTTCAACAATAAAAACAGGAACTATCCACATGAGCCTCGGCAGATGGCATATACAGGAATCAAACTGACTACACCTGTGGGGGTAAAGTGAATACGGAGGCTCAATATCAGCAGCCAAATCAAGGCCAGGAGCCAATTACTTACTCATATGCAAACCCAGGTCGAAGTAGAAGAGAAAATTTAAACGTCCACAGAGCCAAATACAACCTTCAGCATATCCCAGCGGAATGAATGTAGAGCATCTCAAGAGCAGATTGGATGCAGTGAACACCCAGGACAGAAGGCTGGAGGAGCTGTGAGAGGGCATCAGGAAGGTCCCATGGGAAGAAAGCACCAGCCATTTAAGACAGGAAAGAAAAGCTCAAAGAGGATGTTGGGAGAGACTCGGAAACTTGCTCTTGATCACCCCGGAGCTAAACTCGTTGGAAGAAATGACGACGGCAAAGAGCTGAACAGAACGTTTCAATGGGCAGCTCAAGAGGACAATGTAAAGTATTGTAAGGAAATGTGCTAAGACCTAGAGCTAGAAAGCCAGAAAGGACAAACATGTTCAGCCTATCTCAAGCTGAAAGAATTCAGGGAAGAATGCCAAGCCTCTGGTTGAAATATTGGAGCCTATGGGGAAAACAGTGAATTATGCAGGTCGCACCAAAATAATATGGAAAGAATACACAGAATATTATGGACTGACAGAAGAACATACAAATCTGTTTTGAAAGGTTTGGCCAGAATGTTCCTTAAGGGTGAGGATGGAGATACCTTGTCTCACATACTTTGGACATTTGATCTGGAGAGGCCAGTCCCTGGGCGGGGTAGTTATATAATCTGTTGTCAATCTGAGAGGACTGAGTGATGGGGGTGGAGTTTATCCTGGCCAATCAGGTCACAGCTTGATGACCTCATTTCGAGGAGCTAAGGAGGTAAATAGCTCGCTGGAGGCAGCACCTGGATCCCTCCTTCGTGTCCACATTATGAGAACCTGCCTGAGACCAGGGACACCCTTACAGCTCACGATGTGACACACTGTGAACTGCCACCTAGAACTAAGTCCACTAAATGTCACATCTCAGCCGGCACCTTCTTCTTCCCTATGAGCCACAGTCTTGGAAGCTCACAGGGGCAGTTCTGCCCTGTTCTAGGGGCTGCTGAGTCGGCATGGCTCCTGGCAGTGAGTTTGGTGGGCTTTGGAGATCAGGAATACAAATGCAGGCAGTGCTTGGATTCAGTTGGTGCCCATCCCAGTGACCACAGTCTAGCAAGCCGCTGCATCTTTTCAGACACATAGATTCAACCGTTATCAGTCACCAACAGCTGTGGAACTGCTTCAGGGGGGTTGTCCATTCAGTAACTAGGGGCGGTCTGGAGAACTTAGTGAATGGCTTCTAAGGTTACCACCAGGAATTCTGTCCACAGTTAAAATCCCAAAATGCTAATCTGGGAAGCCCATCTTCTTCAGGCAGCGATTAGGACTCTAGACAGAAAACTGGTCGTTCCTCCATGAATGCATATGAATACAACCAGCACACCCACACAATTTTGGAAGCACACTGCTATGGCTTTTATGCCAGTTTGCCAATTCCCAAGTCATCTGCATTCTCCAGGGAGTTCCCATACTATCTCTACTTCTACTCAAAATTATTGTTCATTGCTTAACTGCACGTATTCCTGTCATCCTGGTAGAGCAGGAGCCCACACTCATGTTGAAGGAGACCAGATCCCTGCCCAGTCTGATGGAGTCCACGAGATTCTTTCCACTTTCCTACAAACGGCCATTCGGCTGACACAGCGAGGAGGCAGAATGCTCATCACAACTAACCAACATGCTGATAGACACTTGGGCAATCACAGCAGCGTATGCTAAGAGGGAGAAGAGAGAAAAGCCATCAAAGAATGTCTTAAATTAGCTCCACCCGACTCAGAGTTGATGAAGCCATTCAACGATACATGGACACAGTAAAGAAAAGGTGGAGAAAGGTTTTAAAGGTTGAGGGAGAGTCAGGTAGTACGTGAATAGCTGAGAAATTGGACCAGTGGAAAAAAGCTTATGGAATCAGTAGGCTGCATGGTTACTAAAAGGAAATGCTAATGATATAGAATATGATAAATTTTCCTTTATCTCCTACAGAATTGGGATTCAGCTTATAGAAATGTGCACATTGTCGTCTGGTGTGGCTGAGTTGGTCCCAACTCAATGACAGTACATACAAGAGAATGAAATACTGCTCAGACCCACTCCAGCCTCAGAACCTTTCCTGCCGGTGCCCACTGTTAGTCAGTGTTAACCCATCTCGCTGAGGAGCTTCTCTTTTGATGCCCCTTGACCCATGATGTCCTTCTCTAGGGTCTGGCCCTGTGATAGTCGAGGTTTTGTGTCAACTTGGCTGGGTCAGGCCTCGAAGCAGTTGGTAACGAATACTTGGTTATCCCCCAGGGTCTTTGGACATGTTACCAGGGGAGACCAGTCCCTGGGAAAAGACTTCATGCTTGGTAAAGTGGAAAGTCATTAAAAAAAAGAGGAAGGTCAACAAGACGGACTGACGTGGTGGTGGCGAGCCTGGGCTCAAACAGGATGATGGTGTAGGACCCGGCAGTGTTTCCTTCCATTGGACCTAAGGTTTAAGGTTGCTGTGACATTGGAACCCACTCTATGGCCCTTAACAATCCATCCCCCATGACCTGACCTAACCCACTGTAACCAGCGCCAACCAGTTGTACGTCTCCATAACGGGATGAGAGTGGACTATAGCGTCTTTAGTCGTTAGCTCTCTCATAAACACACACACACACACACACACACACACACACACACACACACACACACACATTTTTGCTTCTCTAGAGTACCCAGCAACAAATCCAAAGTATGCAAGATCAAGTCTTGCCAGCTTAGCTCTAGGGAGCGTCTGGCTGTACCTCCTCCAAATAGCTCTTGGTTCGTCTGGGAGTCTACACCGGCACCGGGGTTCAAATGCATCCACTCTTCTCTGGTCTTCCTTATCCAGTGTCCAGCGTTTGCAAGCATAGGAAGGGACTGACACTACCGTGACCCAGGAGCCCTGAGTGGTTGTGTTGGGCTGTGATCCACAAGGCCAGCAGTTCAAAGCCACTAGCCTCTCAGAGGATTGCTGGAGCTTTCTATCTTCATAAGCAGCCTCCGAAACTCACAAGAACGGGGTCCAAATGGATTCGGTGGCAGGGAGTTTTGTTTTTTTGAAGCCAGGCTCACCTTAGTTTTCATCTTAACAGCTTTAAGAGGAAAGTTCTATGAAGAAGGGGCCCTCAGCTACGACTGTGCATCAGAAATCACCTGGGCTGGTCCACCAAAACCCCAGTTACAATCGAACCACTGTATTCAAGGCTAGGGCCTAGGGCAGCCACCAGGGGAATTTTGGGTAGGCAGGAAGGTTAAGAACAACTCGGAAGAGATTGGGGGGGCAAGCAGGGAAAAGGCGGCAAAAAAAGGGGCAAAAGATGTTTCATTGCAAAGCCTAAACTAAGTCCCTGACAATGCTAATCAGATACGACTTACCTAGTATTAGTTATGAGGGAAGGCATGGCAGATCGTAGGCATTACACACACTGAGGCTTCACGCCAACACATTTTAGGTGAAAACGAACAATCGGTAACAATTTCCCCAAACGAACACCAGTAGCACCCAAACCAAATTACAGATTCTGAAAACGGAGTCTATAATTAAAAGCACTCAAGCCAAACAAAGAACAAAAACTCCAGACGTGGATGACTTCATCGATGCGTTATTCCAAACATTAAGGGATAAATAACCCATTCACGCCAATGCTCCTCGTGCACAGAAGACATTTCCCAACTCATTCAATTTGATTTTGAAAGCCTGGCAAGAACATTACGAGAAAATGAACAAGGCCACTGGTTCAAGCCCACCAGGTGCCCCTTGGGAGAAAGAGGAGGCTCCCCTCTTGCATATGGTCACCTCTGAGTTAGAACGGACCCCACAGCAGCGGGTTTGGCATTCTCTCGTGAATAGCGATACAAAAGCACTATACACACAATACGAACCGTGACCATATTAATTCTGACAGCGCACGGTTCACTTAATACCTGAACTAAAAGTCCAGTGTCACACAATCAAGAGAAAGCCCAGACCCTCACTTGTCCTTCTGTTTAGCCAGCATGTACCAGGGTCCTACGTGGGAAAAGGCCAGGAAGACTACAAAGACTTGAACTGGAGCAAAACAGCCATCAGTTACAAATAACGTAATGTCGATACGGGAAATCCGAGAGTTTCCGGGTAAACTATTAAACTCCAGTAAGCGGATTTAACAAAATCATTGGATACAGGGTTTTTTAAAACTGACCTTTATCTCTATATATCAGCTATCAACAATACAAGTGGAAATTAAATAATTAAAATAGCTTCAGACATGTCACAAACTTAGGAATAAATTTTACAGAAGAGGATTACGACTTACATAGAAACTTAGACCCTTCAGAGTTTCCAAGACTGTAATTTTTACAGAAGCAAATGGTGGGTTCAAAGAGCTGATCTCCCAGTTCGTCGCTGGGCACTAACCGGGTTCTTACAAGGAAGCTGCAGTGAGGAAAAAGGACCCCAGTTCTCAGCACCCACTGGTGGTGACTGGGCCCAAGTGACACCACTATGCACTGCAGGTAGTGCCTGGCCCAAGCTTAGGTCCCCAGTGGCTTCCAGGACAGTGTGCCGTAGTTAAATGTCCAGCCTTTGACGTTACCACACCACATCAAGGGCTGGTGTCGTGGCTCCTTGACGTAGGGGGCCTGCCCTCATCGGGTTCAGGAGCACCAAGCAATGGCAGCTTTTAGGAAGTCAGAGGCAAATGGTGACACATACAATTTTAATCAGCCAGAGTGAGAACCCAGCAAACATGTTCTCCTTGAGAGGGAAAACGGGTCCAGTTCCCACGCGGCAAGCACAAGCTTTTAAACAGAGCATCTCTGTATATTTGGAAATGATGGCCATCAATTTAGTCAAAATATACAAAGTGCTGCTTTCAGAAAATTAACATTTGCCTTCTAAAATCTGAGGGGTCCACAGTAGAGAGCGGGCATGCAATCCAACCAGAAGATGAAGACTAGCCACTCACCACTAGGTGCCACTCTCGACTGGAGTGCTCCCTGCTCTTTAAACCCAGCTGACCAACAGGCCAAGCTGTTAAGTCTTTCCACCTGCCTTTTTCTTTTAGCGGCAAAACTTGAAGGAAGAGGCATCATTACTGAGTCCTGACGTTTCCCAAGGGGTAAACATAGGTGAAGGGTAAATAAAGTCAGACTGCACACCCGAAGCAAAACAAATCCTTTTATTGCACATTTATAAAATCTGCATAGTTTTAGTAAGTGTTCTCCAACTCCCCCCCACCCCCGCCCAAATTCTTTCATCAAGCCTAAAATTTGGTTAAAACATAGTACCCAATCAGGAGGCTTTTGAAAACAGCCAATGGGATCTTTCTCTGTCTACATGGACACATGGACACAGACACACACACACACACACACATTTTTTTTTTGCTTTCTATAAACTCACACTGCATTTTTTTTTAAAGGAGCCAAAATGTTCTCTTGGGCCAGTAGCAGCCGTCGACACTGGGTTTTTGACAATTTCCAGATGCTAGAGAAATTCACTGAGATGGTTAACGGCTATTCAGACACCACCTGGGTCAAGTTTCAAAATGCTTGTTGGCAGGGCTCCCTGGATGCTTTCCTTTCGTTCACTCAGGATTGAGCATGAGGTTTTCTGGTTGACGTGAAACGGCGAAACGAGACAGACAGACAGACAGACAGACAGTATGCTCTCAACTCTCAGCCACATGGCCCTGACTGTCCGCACACGCATGAGAGGACGGTGCTCCATCGGCAAGCACCCCGATTTTGTCATCTCCTGTCAAGCCAGGCCGGGTCTGATCGCTCCTCTCCTGCAGGTGACAGTTGTTACATGGCCTGCCATCTGTTTTTGATTTGATAACTAGTAGCTGCTCGTCTGGCTCACGTTCAAGATGGATCACTTTTCTATCCTGCTGTCAAAATCCTGCCAACCTGCAGGACAGGGTAAAAAGCCTGACGCGAGAAGTGGGCAAGCCCAAACGTTCTTGTAGATAGGCACAGAGGCATCTCGGGTCTTTCGACACCTCTTCATAGCTCAGTACACCGGTTCCTGCCTCTCCTAGGAAAAGTCTTTACAATTCTGTACCTAAAAAGTGCACAACTTTATATTTTTAATCCTAAACACACACACAGCAGGGTTGGGGTCTCAACTCAGTTCTTGAGTGTCTGTCTGCTCCCTTTCCCAGGGGAAACACTGTGACAACAGGATTCTGTGTGACGGCAGGCAGTCAGAGGCCAGGGCGGGCCTTGAACCCGCGGCGGTTACTTCACCGTCACAGTCGACACCCCCTGCATTGACTCCATGACGGCTGCAAACCGGCTGCAGAGGTCATAGGGCGAGTTGGGTCGGATCGTCGGAGGCTCCTTCAAGACAATGATTTCTGCGGAAGGATCCAGAAGCCTTGGGAGAAATTCCCCTAAGCACAGCTGCAGATTTTCTGTGGAGGGAAACGGGAGGGTTACCGTGGCAGAGACCTCCGGGTACAGAATGTTAGCCGGCAGCCCTCCCAGAACACAGTCCGCACAGCCCACCACCCAGCTGAGCTCGCCGGTCAAAGCATTATGCTGGCCAGCTAGCAAGAAACTGCCATCCCTTCAAGCCAGACCAGGGGCCAAGACACACTTGATGGCTCCTTTTAGGGCACTGCTTCTGACCATCTCGTCATGGCAGCGTCGCACTGCCTACTCACTTCCTTCGGGTCAGTCTTCAGGTCAACCACCTTGCAGAGCTGGAGAAAGCACACAGGGTGCGCTGCCGTAAATGTAACTGGGCTGTTTTCTGTCTACGGTCAACACACACCAGCGTGTTCACACGGCACAGAAGGCGATGTTGAGTTCATACGTGGGATACGTTAAAATTCAAGACATAAAAGGAAGTAACCACTCATTAGGGACTTGCTCCATAAATACTCCCACTTCAAACACTGGAAGAAGTCAAGGGAGTTAAGTATCTTTATACTGATGAGAAACAAACATAGGAGTGTTTTATCTAAGTGCAACAAGCTGCTAGGTCTACCTAACTCACCGAAGGGCAGCACCTAGTTCCAGGCCCCCGCCCTCCCCACGATGCCCAGGACCAACACGGAAACTCCATGTTCACCCTCACGCCATCACTGTTTAAAACCTTCTTGTGACATCCGGTGAAGTTGGTCACAGGGAAATGACTGGCCATCAAACTCTAAGGAGATTTGGAAATCTGAAACCCTAAGGAAGTTCTATGGAGAAAGTAGCAGAAGTTGGACATTTGGAGAGAGCCACGATTTCTTCTGACAGGGCTGGCTGATTATTTGCGGAAGTGGTGCAGCAGCAACAGGGGACATAAAGGGCGGCGGGGCGCGGACCAGGCTCTCAACCTGCTCCGGTGGGGGGTTCCAGTGCCTTACAAAGGTTCGGCAGCCAGTGACCTGGAAGGAGGCCCGCTGTATGGCTTGACTCCTGAGACGCCTCAGAAACGAGAAGGCTTGCGATCCACATACCTGCAATATCTTGCCCGAGGTAAGAGCACCAATGGTTTCTCATGACCTCGATGGCATCCAGGTCGTCCTTGGAGATGTCATTATTAATGATTAGGTGAATGCAAGGGATGATCAGCTCGTTCATGACACTGATGCCCTCCAGGACAGAGGGGTCATCGTTGGTCTCAAAGAGAGACGCTGCTTCGGCATTCAGCTCCTGCAGATAAAGGCAGAGTGGGGGGAGGGAGAACATAAGGCTCTAGGCTTCTGGAGCCATGGCCGGTAGGTGAGCACCTGAAACGTTTGCCCTGAGATTCTCTTTAAATGACAAATCAAAATACACCCCCAAAGTCTTCTCAGAGTCAAGTAAAATGGTTTTTAACTAGTAAAGAAGGGCTGCGTCCAGCATCTAGGCTTTGAAGAATGATTTGTGTGGGGCCAAGTTAGCACAGCGACTCGAAAGGTCGGTCCGGAACCTCAGGGTGCAGTGTGCACATGTGGACGAGGGAGGGGCACCTCCGAAAAAGACACCGAGAAGGGCTGTGCAGTTGGAAGAACACCACCTGACGCTAAGTGGTTCCATGTAGGAACAGTGTGGAACTGGTGTAAGTTCCACTGTGTGCATCATCAACATCACAAAATAAATGAAATCCAGGGGTAGGCTGAGCAAGATAAATAATTTTTAAAAAGAACTTGGCCAGAGGTTTTAAACTTTGCTGCATGTGGGTACTGCCTGGGGAATCTTCAAAAACTACTGCTGCCTCCTCCCGGCACCCCCAAGACATGCTGGTTCAATTGGTATAGAATTGACCTGAGTATTGCTATTTTAAAAACCTCCCAAGGTGATTTTGACTGTGGCAAAGGCTGGGGCCCACTGGCCAAAGCTCTTTATTTTCAAAGCCAAGGTCATGTCTAATACCAATTTCTAACAAAAGACAGATTCAAGAAGAGAATCATCTGTAGGGGGAACACTGACACCCAGGCCAAAGGTTCTGGTTTAACAGTCTGCGGAGGGGGCCGAAAGACTACTGGGGGGG